TGAATCCTCTCACCCTCCACATCTCTGGCCTGTACCCCAGTTCTGTATGCCAAAAAAAAAAAAAAAAGTTAGTAGCCAGTATTCCATTTTGTACATATACCACATCTTTTTTCTTTAAGGTTTATACTTTAGGTAGAAACTTTGATAGTCCAAACATAGTCTGAACACATATATATATCTTACAGCTATTTATCTTATTGTAAAGTCATAATACTATTAAATTTTCACCTCAGAATTGTTTATTTAGAGAGTAGAGAAAAGCAGAGACTCTGACACAAGGAGACAGCAAGAGCATTTCCTGAAGTTATTTGTAATTATCTTAAGATTATAAAGTCTGATTTCCACAAAGTAAATAGCAAAGAGTTCATGTGAATAGTAAATGACCTTTTCTATTCTTAAGCTACATATGTGCTGAGAGAAATAGTCATTTTTTTGTGTTTCAAGAATGGTATTAGAGTTGCCAGCACTGTTGGCAGTGAAGCCCCTATGTAGCAGTTTTATGAGAACCTAATGCTGCCATTTACACTCTGAAAGCCATGACCTGGAGTGGATGTGACTGTGCACAGAGGGATCCCCTAAAGACATTTAATGAGCAGCACTGAGAGGCCTTGAAAACATGCTTTTATAACTCTTGTATCTGTAATAGCAGCACCTCAAGGCTAAAATAACAGCAACTATGGAGGAAAGAGGCCACCAACAGAGAATTGGAAAGTTCCTAAAATGGTATCACTATTCCTGAAACATGAAAATAATTGAGGTTGGGAAATGACTTAAACATTAAGTTTGAAATCAGATTGTTTTATATTAGAATGAGCTCTGTTGCTATAGTTGGCTCTATAAATGAATCTTATATGACAGTCAGATGCAAACATACTGCACTAATTACATATGTGGCATAAAAATAAAATAATCCAGTGGGAAAATGACAGCCTGGCAACATTTATGAAGCCCTGTTGTTGTGCAATGCCATAAAAAATTACATCGTTTTGGGGTGGATAATAGACTTCTGTTTTGTTATCTAGGCTAAAACCATTGTAGATGATGCCTTGGGAGGATTTGACATGGAAAATTTGTTGCAATCTTTGTATGTAGAAAATAGAGCTGGATTTTTCTTTACTAAATTCTGCGAGCATTCAGGGAACAAGGTAGACAATTATTTTAAATTCATTTTGATACTTTTACTTAATTTAAAAATATGATAAATTAAACTAATTCAATGCTGAAATAATTATATTTCATGTAAGAACTTCCTCTAATAAAAATTTCATGCTAAGGATTAGTATTAACTATTACTAAATAATTAAGCAGTTATTATTTAGTATTATCAATTTATTTAGCATGAATTACCTCAATTATTACTTTCTTTGGCTTACAATCCTAAAATTGCAAAAAAAATATAGACAAAGATTGACCTGTATTATTAGCAACAGTTTATTTTCATGTAATTTTTTCAAGTTTTGTATATTTCAAAAGGATTTCTGTCAACCCTTTCCTTTTTATTGCTGATACTAATAACTACCAATTATAAGGGGTTGTAGCTAACTTATTCTCAGACTTTTTAATTAGTTATCATAGTTTTAATTTTGCTCAAATGCAAAGTATCTAGTGGACTCAATTGTTACAAGTTGTGTTTGGTTCTGATATAATGTATGTTTGCCTATATATGTCAAAATATCTACAGATTTTGGTTTGATGCCAGAAATAAATTATCTTTAATCATTAACTAGAACATTTACTGTTTTAATGAGCAATTATGTGAACGGCAACCATGCAAAAATGTACTATCTAGTGACCATACCAACAAAAATTGTGTATGTTGCCAGTTTGTGATTAAGCCTATTTAAAAATGAACCTGATTTATGGTAACAGCAAGGAACTAAACAATCATTTACATTTGAAATAAGATCTTTGTAAGAATTTACTAATTGGGTGGTAATACCTTCTGTACTTTTCCATTTGCAGTTGTGGAAGAACAGTGTGTACTTTTGGTTTGACCTACAGGCTTATCATCAGCTTTTCTACCAAGAGACACTTCACCCTTTTAAAGTATGCAAGCAAGCCCAAGTAAGCAGTAAATAATGTTAATTCAATGTGAAATTCTAAGTACACAGAGAAAAAAAATAGTTGTCCAGTCCCAAATAAGAGAAATCTGGGAGTGCAGGCAAAGAAACAGCAGTTAAACTGTTGCCATGGGATTGCATTATTTAAAACTCAACAGAATACTCTTTTATCATCTGATTTGTGTGTTTTCAGTTTTTATCTATTATTTGGTTTGCTTAATTTTCTTTATGCTGCCAATTACTTATTCTCCCAATTAAAGACATCCCATTTTTTCTCTATTTTATGCCTTTTTCATTTGATGGTGAGTGATTTAAAAGAGAACCCCAAGAGAGGGCTTGCAATGAATCATGGAAGCGATCAGAAGCAGAGATACAGAGAACAGGGCTGTTCTCTGCAGAAATTGACTGATGGGCATATTCAGATTGTAGACCTGGAAGGGGGCAGAAAAGGATGTTGACTGACCAGCTGAGCTACCAAACTACTCACCATATAAGACAGATATTTAGAAGTGGAGAAAACATCTCAAAATCACATGAAAGCAAAGTCGGGCAAGGGTGAGAAGGAAAAACAGAATTTTCTGAAAAGGAAGACAGAGTGTGGCCTCTTTTGGGGGTGGGTGTGAAAGGAAGGAAATAGATTTTTGCTTCAGACTGACTTCTCTTTTCCATTTTTTATTCTTAAGATCTTCTGATATTTTAAGGAGAGGGGTCTTCAAGCCTAGAAAATTGCTAATCGCTTCTATAATTGTGACCACTCAAGTGGTTCTGATAATTTGGAAAACTCCAGAACAATGCCATAGATAGTGCCTTTGTCAGATTATTTATTGCCTTATTATGATCTTATTCAGGACATCAGAGAGGACTGCTGTGGATGTTTGCTGTTATTTCCACCACATTGGCTTTGACATTAATAACTAGGCTTTGTAAATCAGCTGACAGCTTTGTACTTTTTACCACCAGAATAAGAACTTCAGCTCCTACATAGTCCAGATCTGGCTTCATGAAATTATATCTCTAATTTATCCATACCACTTTCAGAGACCACACAGTCGGCTCTTCTGCTTGTTAATTCTTTACCTATAATTCTCTACTCATCCTCCTTCCCCTAACCTATTGCCCCTGTCTGCTAAAGTACTATCTGTTATTTTTTATTATGTTTTTACTACTACAAAGCATGCTCCTCTAAAAATCTTCAGCTGCTCAGTTAAGTGAGCTTTTTTTTTTTTTTAAACTTGTAATCACTATACTGTATTTCCAAGTACTTGTAAAAGAGAGGAAGTTATATTTGAGCTTGGTGGATTTGTTAATTCTTAGTAATGTATTACTTCACTGGCTATAAATGATTAGAAATAACTTGCAAGTTTTGACTATTTTGAGATGGAATATACTGCTTCAGAATCACCAAGGCCTGGAAGTTTTTTTCCTTCCTTAGCTTCTCTTTTGGAAAATAAAAGCAAAGTTGGAGGTGGGGGGACAATGGAGACTATTATTTTTTAGGTAACAAGAAAGCAAAAAAGGGAAGAAATCATGTTTTTTTTTTTTTACACCTATATTTATTTTTTGGTTGGGGGAGCAATTGTCTAAATTGGTTTGGGTGTTAATTATCAAGATTTCCATATTTCCAGGTGTATGATTTCTAATACAATCCTATAGATTTGTTTATAGTATAAAATGCCATTCATTTCCTAATACTCAAAATGCTATATGATTTTCTTGAAGGATACGTTTACAAAATAGATCTTTGGAGAATGCCTGTGGCAAAATATAATTAGCTGGCCTTGTGTTAAAATGGCTATAACTTAATTCTATTTTGTTCTTATTCATCTGCCAAGTTATATGGTAGGCTAAGGTGATTTTAAGAGACTTACATGATTTTCTGTTTGCAAGTAGGCAAATTGTATACCTTAAAGTTTTATTGTCTCATGGAATATTGCAGAAATATGTGTAGGTAGCCTTGATAGGTTAATAAAGTGAGATAGGTAAGTAGTGATAGTGATTTAATGTGACTAATTGTAGTTCAAGAGTTTGAACTACAGTCCTGGCACATCTTGAAGATTTTACTATGTGGATTCAAGATAGAATAATACAATTAGAATACATTTGAAATGGTCTTGGCAGTAAGAAAGGGAATCAACACTATAGTAGAGAGGTATAAATCTTTGTAGCAAGAATTTGCTAAGATTTGGAGCCTAGAATCCTGCCACAGATAGTTTTACAACTTTTTTGACATTGCATACTTGCTTCAATGATGGGATACTATAATAGAATGAAGAACTGAGTGTCACTGTCTTTTGTAACTTCTTTCATCTTTATAGAAATACTATCTCAACAACACCATGTATCTATGATTTACCATTCTCCAGAGCAAATATATTAAGAGTAAAAACTAATAAGCATGTTGGATACATAAAAATTATATGTTTACAGATATGTATGTTTATACCCATGGAAAATTTTTTGAGAGAAGGAAATGGTGTGCGGGGAGGAAAAGATAAATAACAGTAGAAATTAGAGCCTGGAAGAAAAAATACTTGGAGAATGTAGGAGTTAAAGAATGAAGAGGGTTGGTAAGAATGAAATAGAAAGAAGGAATAAGGGCCCTCCCTGGTGGCCCAATGGGTCACTTCAGCGAGAGTTTGATCCCAGGCCAGTGAGGTGACCCACATGGCACAGAAGACCTCTCCTGGCCTACTCACTGCTCCCCTCAGCAATGTATATTAGTCAATCTGCCTGTTCTGCTCCTCATACTGTCTCTGGTGAATCCTCTCACCACCCCTGCACCTCTGGCCTATATCCCAGGTCTGTATGCATAAATAAATAAACCTTTAAAAAAAAAAGAAGGAATAAGAGGATTGCTAGATATATCTGCAGCACTTTACCCACAAATGCTATTGACTATATACTTGCAGCAGTGTAAGATTTTTGCCTTATAGAACATCAGAGTAATACATTTTTTTTTAAAGATTTATTTATTTGTGCATACAGAACTGGGGTACAGGCCAGAGGCTCAGGGGTGGTGAGAGGCTTCACCAGAGACAGAGTGGGGAACAGAACAGGCAGATCAACGAAGTACACTGCTGAGGGGAGCAGCGGGCGGGTCAGGAGAGGTCTGCCACGCCATGTGGTCTCCTCCGGGGCAGGCGGGAATCAAACTCATGCGGAAGCGGCTTTAGATTCTCAGTGCTGTGCTTTAACCTGCTGCGCCACCAGGGAGGGCCCATACATTATTTTTTAATGTGTTACTTATCAGAGGCTGATGTAAAACTCAGAGTTGGAAAAAATGAATGTAAGTCACATTATGTCCCGCTACTGTTACAGGGCACTGCAGTGTGAACTGGGCTGCCTGTCCGTGGGTCCTCACCTGCATGCCTAAAATTTAGTTGTACTGCAGCACACATAAAAGAGTCGATAATGTATTTATTTACAGAAAGAGAAAGGAAAAGGAACAACCCAGGGAAAGAGAGAGAGGTACAAGGTAACTAGAATATCTTACTGGCTGGGCTGTTTAGAGCTCTGGTAACAAACTAATAGCCCCCAGTCACACCCTCCCGAGAGCCATTTCCCGAGCTAGAGAGAGAGGCCATTGGACAGAATGGCTCCCTGTTTATCCCCCAAAGTCCCAGAATGCCTGCTTAGCTCTGCCCTTGGGTCCTCGGAGTTCTTTCCTTGGTACTGCTGGGAGTTGTAGTTTCCAATCACTGGAGTAGGGGGTGGAGTCTGCAAGACTCTGCAGAGTTCCTTTATGACATCCTTTACAAGTGGGTATACTTGTCACTTTAATAAAACTGAGTTTCATGTTCTGTAAAATGTGACTAGTTGTAATCTTTTACATTTTATTTTCTTTCTGTGGCTTGGAAATTACATTTTTAAAAGATTTATTTATTTATACATACAATAACAGGGGTATAGGCAAGAGTTGTAGGGGTCAGAATCCTATCTGCTGAGAGAGGATTCACCAGAGACAGAGTAGGGAGCAGAACAGGCAGATCCAGCAAAATACACTGTTGAGGGAAGCAGCAGGTGAGGCAGGAGAAGTCTGCTGCGCCATGTGGGTTAGCTCCTTGACTGGGGTTAGAATTCTGCAGTGGCTGGCTATTGATAGCCCTGACACTTTAACTCCTGCACCACCAGGGAGGCCCCTGAAAGTTACATATTCTTTTTTTTTTTTGTTAAGATTTATTTATTTATGCATATAGAACTAGGGTACAAGCCAGAGGTGCAGGGGCAGTGAGAGGATTCACCAGAGATGGAGTGGGAAGCAGAACAGTCAGATCGACAAAGTACACTGCTGAGGGGAGTAGCGGACAGGTCAGGAGAGGTCTACCTTACCATGTGGATCTCCTCCAGAGCCGTTGATCAAACTTGCACTGAAGCAGCTGCGGCCAGCTTGCAGTGCTGTGTCCTAACCTGTTGCACCACCAGGGAGGGCCAGAAATTACCTATTCTTATTCAGTTTTCATCCTTACAATTTTAACATGCATACTGAAATTAACAAAGTCATCTTTATCCTTCTCACAAGCAATTCAAATATTTTAGAATGCTTTAGCTTCTATTCTACCTTGTTTATGTGCATATTATTTTTCTATGGTATTTTAAATTTGTTTTATATCCTCCAGTTGTCCATTATTATTGTCATTAAACTTATACTCTGATGCTCCTGTAGATTTATTCAAATACATTTCTCTTGCTTACCATTGCTTTTTTTGCATGACATTCCTTCCTATGGGTTTAATTACTCGTGAATATCTTTTAGTAAGTTTTCATTAGGATTTGCTATTAAAATTAACTTTATTTATCTGAAAATGTCTGTCTTATTTCCTCATTGATATTTTACCTGAATATAGAATTTTACATCAATAGTTTTGTCAGCACTGTGTTCAGGTTTCCATGATTATTTGTGAGGTTCTGCTGTTGTTCCTTTGAAGGAGGATGAAACTTCCCATTACAACTTTCTATTTAACTTTGGATTTATGTATTTCACCACCTTCTTTATTTACTACAAAT